TTTCAAACCTAAAACAAAGCCCCTATTCACTGTCCTCTCCGTAAAACAACGGAGGTCTGGTGATTTTCGTATGTTTACTCTCTTGTGAGAGCCAAAGAGACAAGTCAGTACGCGTAGGGTGGCCAGATTTGTGTCCGACAACCCCCAAATGCATGATTTTGCATTCATGTTACATATTAGTCATCAACTATAACTAGGTCATAGGTTAGGTAATTTTATTTGATCCAAAATCAAATATTGAGGTGTAGGTTCTCTACAAACTTTGCAAGCTTTATTTCTTTTCCTAAAGTCATATATCATGAAAAAATTGGCATGAAATGCTGGAACTCGCGTTAGTAAAGAACTTGTGGATGTTTCTAAAAGTTTTGCTTGGATATGTGAAATGGGTTCAACGTTGTTTGAAATGATATATAGCTAATTTGTTGTAAGATTTTACATAAATCCCCAAATATTTATTTCGTAAATCCTAGAACAAACAAAACCTACCGCTTTGTGTATATTGCAAAGCTTATAAAGATATCAACAAGGGACCAATTGCTCTTTTGTGTAAAATTGTAGAAAATCCCTCCATTCACTTAGCCTAAATTAAGTGATGCGTATCTCTTTCTTTGAAAAGCTTCTCTTTCACCCAACCCAAGTTAGGGAAATAAGCACATCTTTCCTTGAACACCTAAAAGTTCAATGAGATCTTTCATAGTTTGCAACTCCTAAGTTGCATTGCCACTCTTTCATCCCTCCAAATGAACCTCCCCCTCTTTGAACATCAAATGTTCAAGGAGTTTCCTCCATTTAGGAACCTCTAAGTTGTTTTATATTCATTATCTCCTGCAATCCAAGATTGGAGGAGAACACTACAATTTTTTTCATCCTCCTAAACCCAAATTAGGAGGGTGTACATCTTCTCTTTGAACCCAAATGTTCAAAGAACGTTCATTAACTTGCAATATCAGTATTGCATCTTCATATTCTTTTCTACAAGCCAAAACTGTAGAAAATCCTCTCATTCTTCTAACACAAATTAGATGAATGAACATCCCTTTCTTTGAACACCAAATGTTTAAAGAAACTTCTCTAGTTTGCAACCCCTAAGTTACATTCTCTCTGCTCGGCATATGTTGATTTTTCTTTCTTTTTCTTGAGTATACATATTGTTGTTCTTTAATGCTACTCTTTGCAGCGATTGATTAGGACTTATGGGTGGAGGTAATAGGTCTTATGGTGGAGTTTGAGACATAGGAGATATAATTTGGGAAACACTCATGGTTTTAAAAGCTAAGAAGAATCCTCAAGCATCTAGCCCAAAAGCTATATGTTGGACAACCCCCTTCTTAGACCAAAACTCAAAGTAGCATTTCATTTAACATAACAAATAATTGATCTCTCCTTATGACCTTTAAAATATAACCTTAGATGTCCTTTAGGAGCTTCTAATAGGTGAACTTATAGCCCTATTACATGAACTTCACAAAGTCCTAAGTATAGCCCTTAGGCATGTTCACCTTACACTATTAGATGAATATTCATCTCTTATCCAAACATTAAGAGAACTCTAAAATCCTTTAAAAAATCACCTAGGCTTCTTTGATATAATGATCAATCATTCTACCCCAAAGGTGAAATGTTTGTATCATTATGTCTTAGGACCTCATAAGTAGCAGTCTTGCTTAAAAACAAACAGTGGTTGTTTTATGGGTTCTTCATAACCTTCATAAATATGAATCATTTAAAAGCTAAATAAATAAAATTTTAAGTTATAAACAACTTAAATTGAAATCACCGTTAGATTAAGATTAAACATCTTCATTTCAAAATAAAATCAAATACCTTTCATAGTGTGACATGTCACACAAATCTCAAACACTTAGGTGCGCAGCTTCTTAGGTATGCTATGATTAAGATTTTTCTTTTTCTGTGCATATGTTTGATGTTTTGATGTGATGCTATTTAGATTGTCTGCATTGTGGGCACTTGCCCTTAAGTGGATAGAGTCTATATATATATATATATAAATCAAATTCTGAAAGTGATATTTCTATTATATAAACTATTTTATAATCCTTTGTTTTATAGGTTTGAGTCTTTTCTTTTTAAATATATTTGATTAAACTTAGATTGTGGAACTTGTAGGATTCAGCCAGAGGAGAGGTGAATCAAGAGAATGTACCTATTACAAGTGAAGCCCAAGACCAACCTAGAAGTCAAAGTTTGAAGACCCCCATAAGTAGAGTCTACAATCAATTCATCTAAATTGTATAATGACAGATAACTCAGCTGTCAAATTTGATTGAAATAACTGGAACATTATTTACATTTTTCTTTGGTTGATTTATATATATAAGCATGTGTTGATTGTTTACCTGATTGCGTAATAAAAAATGCATATTCTCCTTAGATTTTTTTCTCTTATTTTGTTTGGGAATGGCATGAACATGTTGATGTAGTACGCTCTTAGGATAAAATAAATTTTATACTCATTAAAATGTTAAGTAACATAAAATCAACCTTAGGCTCAATATTTTTTCTAAATATAAGAAAACTTGCATGGCTCCCTTTAAGAAGCCCAGTGTTCTAAAAATTTAAATTAATTATGCATAGCCCAGAAAGTCACATATAGAATGCCATCATTGAAGAACTAGATAACAAAAATTATATTTTTTAGTGAGTTAGTATTGTGCATACTCTTCATAGTCGGCATCTTGGTCTCAAAGCTAAGCTATAAGTTATATCCTCTAAATAAAAAATAACATTTTCTACTCTTCATATGTATTAAGAATAGTCTTCATGATTTTAAAAGCGATTAGATGACTTTAGTTGATAGCTCATTCCAGGAAGAGCAATAAATACAGAGATCGGGTTGGCTATGTCTCATGTGAGGTGTAGTTTGTAAGTCTATTGCACTCTATTAGACTTAGGTTCGAGGAACTAAACATCAATAAACCTCACTTTAGTTCTAGGATTTAAGACATATGTTGATTTCAATGACTTCATAAGTCCTCACCATCTAGGTATTTTCTCCAACATGTGTTATTGTACTATAAGCCCCAAAATTCTAAATTAAAACGATCAACTTAAACAAAATTGGACTCTAAAATGTAAAGACCAATATAATATAGTTTTAATTACCTACGAGTTTTCTCTCAGAATCAAGTACTCTTGGTCTTCCTCCCTTTAGCTCTTATTCCAAGAACTCCAATAAAAGTTAATCCCTCTCTTCCTTTTAAATTCTTGAAAATTAAAAAAAAATAAATCTTTAAACAAGAATTTCATGGATTTAAAAAGGAAAATAATTAGCCAATTTTTTTATGATTTCAAAAGAAAGAAAACTATTAGTTTAATCAAAAAAATTTTCAAGTACCAAACATTTGAGATATAATTAATCATAGGAGCTTGCCCTTATGGGGCATCCATACCCCAGAATTAAACCTCATTCAACAAAATATTGAATGGGGGAAAATCTCTATTAAAATTTTAAAATTATAAATTTTGTTATTGAGTCAATAGGAAAATGGTATTTTTTACCTTCAAGGCAATATATCATTTTCTATGTCGTGCTCGATCACAAAACATGCAGTCCATTAAAGATGGAAAAATTTCTCCAGCACTAACAGATACAATATATTTGCACGCATAAATTGAAAAAAAATCGAAAAGAAAATTAAAAAATAAAGTATCTTAATTGATATTATTTAAATGATAGTAACTCTTGTGATAATTGTATTATATAATAAATGAGAAAGGTAAAATTTGATATGACATGACTATTTTTTATGAAACATTCTAAAACTCTTATAGGTCATAATTGAATATAATGAATCACCAACTAATTATGATGATTTATTTTAACAAGCATACATATTGATTTCTTAATTTTTATTATATTACTGTAATTTAGAAACACGATTAGTCATGGAGTGGTGATAACGCATCATTGTAAATAGTCATGCCAGGATAAGATCTTAAGAATTGAAAGAATGGACGACGAGAAACTAGGTCCTCACGACATGGAGCATCAAGTAATAGATGTTTAACATTCTTGTATGTTGAAAGAACTATATTAAATTTGTCGTAATTTTATAATAAAATGAATTTTGATGATTTAGTGATTCTTTTGATATCTAGAGAATTATTATTATTATAAAAATATTAAAAAAAATTAATATTTGTTGATATAAATAGATTTAATTTAAAAAACTGTCTAACCATTTGCTCTCACAATGTAATTTCAAGCTCCCGGGCCAAGAAGTGACATGATGAGGGTAGGCTGTAATATTGGTTGCAAGGGCTAGCTTAGGCCATGAGAAAAGGTTATGACATCGATTAAGAATAAGGACGCATATATATCAAGTGGGGCAATGCATGCACACACCAAAGAGTGCATTTGAACGAAGAGAGATACGCAAGTAAGCATGGCAATGATAGTAGCAAAGAGTGAGTTAGCAGCAACCTCCGAGCATGAGAGCACTATAACATGCGAGCTCGAGACATTGGGTCAGCTTTGACACACGCAAGCATTGCCGCAAGTGGCAATGTCAAGGAAACAAAACAAGATATCAATTGAACGCAGCTTAGAGCATGGGGAAAATTAAGTGGTCAATCATCATAAAAGTAAAGTCAAAGAAGAGAGCCAAATGGAGATGATGACAGTTAAGGCTTAGCCTAACCATGTTGAAAGGAATGATTGATTTATCTTATTCATTTAATATAGGTTTAAATTTATCAGCATACAGAATAAATATGATAAGGAAAAACACAAAAAGGAGAATAATCACTGTTAAAATGAATACATATTTCATCAAAGAAGATTCTCTCATAATATAATTCTTTCCTAATATTATTTTACTAAGTTGCAACATATGCCAACTGTGAGAAAAATAATAGTGTTTGAAATTGAAAGAAATTCCAACGGTCATTGAAAATTGCTTGATTCAATTTTAAATAGTATCAAAGTAAAAGCAGCATGAAAATTAAAAATAAATAAATAATTGATAAGTAAATATCACCTCCAATAAGAACCTCATTCCTCCATCAACAAAACAATATGGAGAATTGGTTAGTAAGAACAATTTTTTACCCTTATCCTTAAGCATCGTCAGAAACTTAGGAAGTTGATTCTGAAAATGAATACAAGAAATTCCAATCATGAGTTTAAAACCAAATCTGTCAGTTGTATCACAGAAACTATAACAACAACCTCAAACAGCTTGGCATCCATCCCTGGAGCACAATCTTGTTCGTATGAATAGCAATGAGGGAAGGGTAATGCTTACATTTTTCATAAAATACTTCTTGGGATCAGAAAGAATAGTTTCATGAAGAATGCCACTCCTATGCACATACTGAATTGCATGTGTAACATCCTCATATACGTAGGAAGCATCATACTCCAACTGAGCATCTCTGAAATGCTGGACAACATCTGCAATAAGGCACACCTGAAAAGAAAGGAAATCTGGAATCATAAATGAGCTGCTTCCATGTTCCATATAATCCCCAAGAAAAAATTAGAAAATGATAGCATCAGAAAATTGGTAATATAAAGAGCAACCAATCTAATATCGATATAATACATATCAATCCATGCTTTTGATATGTGAAAATGCAAAGACTTGAACAAATGTGGAGAGTTTCTTCTTGGTTTTTTGAGTTCTACAAACAACAATAGACTTCCTCTTTAAACAGAGAGCAAGACTACCAACATAGAAAGGAAAACCAAATAGTATTATGATTATGAAAACCAAAGAAGGCAACTGCAACTACCATGCAGGATTGACAAAGCCCCATCTTCCAACTCCTTTCTGCAACAGCCTAACATCCCCTAGAAGAATGTGTAAGACCTCCTCTGTAAGATCAATGTCTCTTCTTCTCAAAAGCTCCTGTTGACTGATATAAAAAAAGTAGGGCAAAATAATAATTAATATATATATATATATATATATATAGACACACACACATAAATAAGAAATATAAAACTGAAGGGAGGCATCTCTTCACGATATCTCATCTAATGCCTCCTCTGATCCGGCCCCACCCCAAGCAGTTGATCGCCAAATGACACATCACTTCGCTAATGTAACTCCCTTTCAACAAATCAACTTAATAATACATTAGAAACAGAACAAAAGAACTTACACTCTCAACTTCTCGAAATTCCTAATCTATACCACCGAGCTTGTCGTCTTCGTCTCTGTCCGTGCCGCCCAATCCACAACCCCAAGCCCAACCCTCATTTTGCGTACGGGACCGAACATTTGTTCGACTGAACCCCAGCAGAACCCAGAGCAGACACTTATATTCATTTCGAACACCAAGATCCATCGTCCGTTCCTCCACTTGCGTACGAGACCGAACTCCCCCTCCAGCCCACGCACGACAGATCCTCATGCCTCTCGTGAATGCCCAAACTCGTTCGCACGTTCTGGGCGATCCGCCACTTATCTGCTCGAACAAGCCTCCAGTATGGTCAGGCTTCCTTCTCGCACACATACGTGCGTCTGAATCAAAACCCAATACCTCAAGCCCCTCCTACGTGCGGGATCTCACCATCCAAAGCTTGCTACAATATAATACTCAAAATGCTCAAAACAAAGGTAAGCATAACTTCTTCTAAACGTTAACTTAATTTCATTAAATTCTAATTTTAATTTTGAACATTTCAACATATAGAAGTACATTTAAATATTAATTTAATTATATAACTATTAAATTCATAATTGTTTAATATACTTCAATAGCAGCTAATTTAAAACTAAGTTACCTAACTCTTAATAACTATTAACAATTAATAAACAGTCATTTTATTATTTTCTTCCTATTACTCTAACTTCCCTCTTATATAGGCTTGCAAGGGTTGGATAGTATAGAGGTGTACTCAGCGGCTGAGATTTTCCTTGGGAATATTAGTGGAACTTAGTGTTATTATTATAACAAGTGGTGGCCTAAAGCACTCAACTACAGTCATTCCTTCATTTATTTTCCCTCCCCTTTTACAGCATTCCCCTGGCAATCGAAACAACTGCTTGTTGCCTTGTGAAATCAGCGACAAGAGGAGGCGGAGGCAAGGGAATTGGCGCTGAGGCTGCTGCATCTAATTTATAAGCGTAGGTAGTTCTTAACTCAGGTAATTAAAACATATGAGAGCTGTTGAATTGCTGAATTTTAGAATTTGGCGAGTAATAGCTGAAATCAGTGCAGTTTCTTTAATTTGTTGTTTGCTAAAATTACAACCTAAGGGTGCTGTAAAGAGGTTGTTGTTTGTTGAATTACAACTTAGGGCTGTTGTGTGGATGTTGTTGTTACAGAATTTTTGTTATCCTCGAATGGATTGCATACTTTATGATTGAGTACGGCATAAGAATGATGATATATTACCCCAAAGGGTAAAAATATAATTTCCTTATGGATTCAATGATTAAATTTACAATTTTAAACAGAGATTCCCCCAATCAATGTTTGGATGAATAGGGTTTATTTATTTCTGGGGTACAGACGTCCCATAGGGGCAAACCTTTATGGTTAATTACATCTTAAGCTTTGATGCTTGAGAAAACTTTTGATTGAACTAGTGGTTTTCATTTTTTTTTAAGTTATTTAAACATTGGCTAAAGTTTGATTTTTAGAATCCATGAAAGTCTTATTTAAATGTTTTGGCCTTTAGGAGTTTCAAGGAAAAAGGGATCAACTTAGAATCAGATTTTGAAATGAGAACCAAAAGAGGAGAAATAGGAGCACTTGATTCTGAGAAATCTCAGAGGTGCTCGAACTATCCTATGTTGGGCTTTACTTTTTTTAACTCTAATTTTTGTTGAAGTTGACATTTTTATTAGAAGTTTGGGGCTTACATTCCAACAACATATGTTGGAGGAACTATACGGAAGGTGAGGACTTGTATGGTAATTTAAATCAACCATTGTCTCATATCTTAGAACTAACGTGAGGACTACCGAGAGGTAGTGCCTCGAACCTAAGTCTAACGGAATGCAAAATGGACTTATAAACTACACCTCACATGAGACATAGCCAGCCCTTCCCCTGAATTTATTGTCCTGCCTTGAGAGGACTAACAGCTAGACCCACCTAAACGATTTTAAAATCATATTTTACGGTCTCAATGCATATGAAGCGTAGAGGGTTGTTTTATTTAGAAAGAATGGCTTCTAGCTTGGCTTTGAGGCCAAGATGCCTCGTTATGTAGGGCATACATATGCTGACTCATAAAGAAAGTAGACTTTTGTTATCTAATTCTTAAGAAAGGGCTTTTCTATATGAGATACATTTTTGGCTATGCATGCTCAATTTAGATTTTGGAAAACTTGGCTCCTTGAAAGGGAGCCATGCAATTTTCTTTTATTAGGAAATCATGGAGTCTAATTTCATTTTTTTTATTTACATTTTAATGGATAGAAAACTTATTTTATCTTAAGAGCCTACCGCATCAAAGTCTAAGCCACACCCAAGAAAACATGTAAAGAAACCAAGGAAAAAGCATTCATTTCTATTGCACAATCAGGTAAACGATCAAAACATGCTTGAATGCAAAAATCAAACAAACTGAATATAAATCATAGAGTCCAAGTTATTACAACCAAATTTGACAGCTGAGTTGCCTGCCATTATACAATCCATTCAAATTTTAATACAAACTCTTGCTTGTGGAGATTTCAAAATTTATCTTCCAAGTAAACCTCAGGCCACACCTTCCACAAGTACATCCATTTGGTTCATCTCCTTTTGATCCAGACCCCCCCAAGTCTAACACAATTCCTACTTCTATCAAATACATTTAGAAAATGTAAAAGACTCAAGCCTGCAAAATAGAGTTAGAAAGCAGTTCATATCATATATCACATGCAAAATTTGTCAAGCATTTGAAGTGCTAAGCACCTGGTTTTATCATATTAGCCACATCACTTGGGGGGTTTTAAGCGACACCTATCATGCAAGCATTTATATTATTTATGAGCGCCGCCCTTTAGACATGGCTACCTGCACAAAAATCATATATATCTCTACACTAACCACTTAAGGCCAAGTGTCACAACGCAAACAATCCAATAGGCAATTACACCAAATCATCAACCACACGCGTACAAAAAGAAAATTCCTACTCGTAGCATGCCTAGGGGGCTGTGCACCTAAGTGCGTGAGACTTGTGTGGCATGTCACACTAAAGGTGTTTCACCTAGAGTTTGGATCTGAGGAAAGAGTATGTACAACATATAACTTGGGGCCACATGTTGGAGGACTCTCCCTTGCTTTTGGAGCTAAGAGGAGCATGTAGGAATTAAACATTTAGCTTTTGGGCTAAATATTGGAGAACTTCCTCTAGCTTTTAGAGCTAAAGAGAGAGAAAATCTCCTACAACTTTGGAGTTGGATGAGAGAGAACATATAGCTTTTGGGCTAGAATAGGACATCTTCTAAGGCCTTTGGAACCTATAGAAGTGAGGGAAGATTAGTAGCTTTGAGGCTACAAATCAAAGAAATATCTCCATGAATTTTTGTATGCAAGGAGTTATGTTTCATTTGCTTAATTTGGATTAAGCAAATAAATGTGAGTCACTTATTGATTTTGGCTCAATAGGTGAGGATTTGTAACTTTAAGGCTACAAATCAAGAGGAATTATCATAGAACTTTTATGTTCAATGATGAGTATTTAGTTTGCTAAATTTAGATTAAGCAAACATAAGAGAATGATGTGTAGGTTTGGGCTACACATCAAAGATTCTTTGGACTTTCGGGTATCCAAAGAGAGGAACTCATTCACTTAGTTTGGGTTAGGAGAATGAAAGAAAGCTAGGAGTTTGACTCCTTTGTTTGATGTGGAATTATTTGTTAAATTTGGTTTAACAAATAAATGATTTGTATCTAACTACTTGTTGATTTTATTCAACAAATAGGTGATTTTCATAAGTTTAATTCACTCAACATGGGTTGAATGAATGAGAGTTTCATACAACTTTTATGTTGTAGAAAGAGGAGAATTTCTCTACAATTTTCAATTTGCGGAGAAAGAAAAGGGAAATGCAACTTGGAAGTTGCAAAATGAAAATATTTCTTTGAATATTTTGATGTTCAAAGAAGGAGATATTCGCCCGTTTAACTTGGGTTAGTGGGACGAGAAAATTTTCTATAACTTTTTTAGTTGTAGAAGGAGAAAAGAAGATGCAACTTTGGGTTGCAAACTTCCATGAACGCTCTTTGAACATTTGGTGCTCAAAGATAGGGGGTACACTCTTATAATTTAGATTTAGGAGAATGATGGAATTTCATACAACTTTTGAGTTATAGAAAGGAGATAATTTCTCTACAATTTTGGTTTGTAGAGAAGAAATGGGGAAATACAACTTAAAAGTTGTGAAGTTATGAATGTTTCTTTAAGTATTAGATATTCAAAGGAAGGAAGTGATCTACCTAACTTGTGTTGGGTAAATAG